AAATCTGGTCTTGCTCAGTGTGACTGGATTGCATTGAGTGATACAGTTTATGTGACCACAATAGAAATATCAATTTCAGATTACAGAAAGCTAAGGCAAAACTAGAAGCAGAGAAAAAAAGTGATTGAAAAACAACAATCTGGTTGTAAATCCTTAGGACAATAACATTGGACAACTGAATTGATGACCTGGAAAATAAGTTCAAATTAAGAAACATAATACTATAGGAATACTGGAGGCACAGCAACAACAGAAAAAAATATAATGCATCATAAAAATAAGGAGACAGAGTAATTCTGAACTCCCTCTAGATGGTACAGCAGTGTGCTGTAATCATGAGAATTACCTAATCAGGTAATGCCTTGCCAGTGCTTCCAAAATGTGTGTCTGTTGGAATGAGGCATCATGTTTCTAAACTGCCACATAAATTTGAGACTAATTTTCAGGGCTCAATACTTTTATTGAGATTGCAGTTTTTCTCTGTCAATGTCAGAAATGTATGAAAGCATTTATGAACATTAAAAGAGGAATGAAAAATATATGACCTTAAAAGGGGCACTGCTCTATCCTGCCAGCCTGGGAGTCTATGACGGCAGACTAATGGATGCTGAATTCTTCTGTGTCACATACAAATGTCATTGCATTTCTGGGAAAGGTAAAGTGTAAGAAGCTGAATGGAAGGCCCCTGCTATATACAACATAGTGAACTCTACCCCAGCATTGACTCAGCTCTGTCATATTGCTATCACTCCAATTTTACTGTATCCTCAGCAAAGGACATTTTGTTCTGGCCCACTGGGGTGCTGCCCAATCCAGTAGTGGTGCTCATCTTTCTGGTGCTCTCTTGACTTTGGAAACTTTTACTGCATGATGTTCTACACAATACTTTGATCTTTCTCCTGGTCTTAGTCCCTTTTGCATTTTTCCTTAATTTTACGTTTTACATTTTTTATTATCATATGAGATTATTCTCCAAAAATTACAGGCAGGCACCTCTGGTTCATAGCCATTTTCATTTTAACTGTTGGACTAAAAAAAAGAAAATCTGGATATTTCAAAAAGTGTTTTGTTTTAATGCTGGACTTGGTTTTTATTTTGGATTAATTCATAGGAAAAAAATTATTTGTAAGTCGAAAACTAGATAATTGATAATGTGCAAAATACTGTCCATTAGACAAATCACCTATACTTCTTTTCATTTGCTGTGTTACTGGACATAGATAAAGAAATATTTTTCTAGATTTTCTGAGATGTTCTACAAATTTTAAAAACGTGTCTCAAAATTTTAACAGAGTTAGTTATGTTCTGCAACATCTTTCTTAAGTCCTAAAAATGCAAGTTTCCATCAGACAATAAACTGCCTCCTCATCATTCTATTACATGAAATAGTCTATGTGGAAATAAAAAACATAAAGAAACTAATACAGATTTCTGTCTTTTTCTGATTCATTATAGAAAATCTATATTCATATGATTCATTAGGAGAATAAGGTATTGTATTCCTTAGAAGAACAAGGGAATAATGTCATTTGTGCAAAAAAGATATGTTATTGTTGCAGTTGTATACAGCTGCAGTAATGGTGTCAGTCAGTAATGCAAGTGTGTAATAAAAGCCAGCCACTGAAATGACCAAGCTCAGCTTTCATACCCAGGCTTATGTCATATAAAATGTGTATAAGAAAGAATGGAAGCCAAAGTGAGGCAGAGTTGCCACATAAAAGCAATCTCCCTGTATTAAAATTGTTGTTGGATATAGACTTCTGCAAAAATCAGGTCTCTTTGGTAGGTTCCCAATGCTTATCCTGTTAAATGAGTTTGATCTGAAATTCCTGCAATGAGTATTAATGGCTTTCCTCACAGAGAAAATTTGCAAATAGCAGAATGTATGCCTGGCTGCTGCTCCTGCAGTCTGGGGAGATGTTGCTGAGGCAGTCCACAGCAAGGCTGAACAGATGCATTTGACTCTAACTGCTCTTTAGGAGGATTTTTCTTTCATAAGACAGAATACTGGAGTTACCATGTGCACAAGCATAGTAAAATCAGTGTTTCAGTATCAATTAAAAATGAGAAATAATGACATGAATGAATGATGTAAAAAAAAAAAAAGGCTCAGAAAGCTAAGCATGAATTGGTATAGTGAAACAATTTCTACATCTTGGTTTTAAATTCTGATGCACTTAATTTTCCTCCTCAATAATAAATGCTGCTATTAAACTTGAGTTAGTGAAGAAAGTAAAAAAAAAACAAAACAAAAAAAACCACCAAAAAACATTTTCTTCTGCTTGTTTGCTTGCTTTGGGTTTTGTCTTCGTTTTGCTTTTTGTTTGGTTGTTTCTGTTGGGCCCTTTACAACTTAGCATACCCTATGATTCTGTGGGTCTGGATCTAGGATGCTAGAGATAGCCACTTTTTAAAAAAGGAACTTAGACCTCTTCAGTTAATTAAAATAGTTCTCATGACTACTATAGCTATTTAACTGAAAAATGAGGTGAATATCTGCTGTTATTCAGAACCACTATTCTCCAGGACTCCTGAGTCCCATAGTATCAGTTACGAAACATAATTGCAGTGCCTTATCCTAAAAATAAATTAACTGAGAAATGAAGTTATTTATTTCTTGTGTGGGATAAAAAGAAGTGTTTTGCAGCTTCCAGATATACACATATAAATAAATAAATAAACAGATATAGCAGCTGAGCTCTGATACAGTAGTAGGTTGAAGCTCAGTACAAATCAGCCCTTCCTGTACTTTCCTTTGCAAAGTATCTCTGGTGCATTGGCTGAAAAAAGACCAGCACCCCATAACACTTGCCCTGATTTCTTACCTGCAGAATAAAGAGTTTCAGGAAGAAGCCAGCCTGGCAGGAATCCGAGTTCTGTATGAAGCCTGACCTGTTGTGATGTATGTGTTTAGGGAGAACAAGGGCAGGATATTGATCTGAGCATATCAAGTGCCATTTACTCTTAATCCACTCACTGGTAACTTGATCTTACTATAATTTATAATGTATGCTCCAATCCTACACTGAACTCAGACATGTGCTTGGCCTGGACAAAACATAAAGAGGAGTTTCAAATTGTCACTGGCACTAAGTGGATTTTGTGACTATGGTAATACAAATGGAAAACCAGTGCATTGTATTTTCCCAGATTTCCTGCAGCAAACAGAATCCCATTACATTCACTCCAGTGCACATCATTTTTCAGATTCTTCTATTTTGGGTTTTTCCCCTGTAAGCAATGTGATACAACTCATATGTGTAAAGCAAAATTTTCTTCACTAAGCCCAAGCAGTTTTATTTATTATCTGCTCCTTTGGCCACCTTATAACTCTCCCTTTGCAGTTAAATCTGTGTCTCTTTATAAATTATTATTTTGGAAAAACAAGTCTATTTCTTCAGGCTCTTTATCTGCAGTGTCCAATGACCTAATGACTTTCTCAATCTAATTCCCACATTTGGTATTATTTTGCAATTGAACTTCTAAAAATGGGAAGACCTCAACATAGAAATAACACAGTTGCATTTATTCTGATAGGTTCTGCCAGTGGAAGCCTCTGCCAGCCCTCATCCCCCTGTTTTCCTTCTCTTGTGTCTCTTTTAAGCTGAATCTTGCATCAAGCTGCATATTGAAAAGGTGCAATGTTTGAAAGGACTTGGGGAGATGCCTGAAACCACAGAAATAGAAGAGAAATAGATGTGAGAACCACCCACTCCTGCAGATGCAGAGCATCCTGCTTCTTTTTCTGCAGTAGCAAGGGAATGGATGTGCCTGCCTCTTATCAGAAGGTGTCAGTGTTGCCCCTGCCTCCCTTGTGCAGCAAGGCTGAGCAAACAGAAGCCCATGGGTCCTTCATGAAGTTTACTTTCGCCCTACTAAAATGCCTTTCAACACCTGTACCTATGGCTGAAATGTTTCAGCCAGTATTTCAGGTTGGTCTCTGGGTGAGGTAAAGCACTGCTGGTAGAATAAGGTGGGGGTGTCAGCAGTGGGGGTGAGAAGACTCGATTTAACAGGGCTGAATATGCTTTTAATACTGATAACTTTTGAGCTTGCCAGAGCATAAAAATATTTTAAGCTTAGTTCAGGTACCTTTTACTTGTCAAATACTGGTGGTGCATATATGCAATTTTTAAATTCCCAGGTGCTGAGAGCAAGTTATGGCTGCCCAAAAACAATTTATGAAAATCTATCAAAATGCATTTGAACCCAACATTTCTGTTCCTTATGTTCTGATCCAAGTCCTTCTTACATTGTTACAGCCAGCTCAGGGAAAGGGAAAGAAAGAGATAAATTAGATTGCTCCAAAATCCACAAAGTGTACAAAAGGCAGAGGAACACAATCCAGAAAATTCTCAGGTGCCTGGTTCAAAGATGTAAAGGTCTAGGAACTCAGCAACACCTCACTGAAGCCTCCCTGAAAGGAGTTCTCTTATCTGTTGTTTTCATACTTTGGTTCTTGTTGGGAACATTACATTTATATCTATTATACTTTATCAAGTTTAACCCCCACAGACATAACATTTTTTTTTTTCAAATTATATTAATTAGGCAAAAGGCAAAAAGGCTTTGGACAGGCTTGATTTGACCTCAGCCCAAAACTAGGAAAATTTTCAATATTTAATTGGGATTTTTAATGAGATAAGATTTTTAAAGATAAGATATTTAAATTAACCCTTGTACTGACTTATGCTGAATAATGCTTTTGCATTGAATTAATTTTTTGAGAAAACAAATAAAGCAGAAGGAGATTTTTATACAGACATTTTGACTTTGGATAGCTTGTTCTCTTCCAATTCTTGATCAGATTATTTCTAAAACCTAAGAGAATTTTCAGTGAATTGCATTTTAACATTGGTATATTCTTATCACGGTTTGCATGCTTCCAATTAAGTGTCTTATTCTGTTGCTACTGGAGTAATTGGAAAATTTTCCATCAGCTTCAGTGACTGTAAAGTAAAGCCCAAATGTTTATACTCTGCTACAATAATAAAGTCATTTTGACATTTTTGACCTCCTCATGTAAATAACCACCAAAGAAAACTGCCAAAGCCAACAGTCAAAACCCAAAAAGTTAGTCACATGGTAGTAGATTCTTGTTTTATTCTCTGTCTCTTGAAGCAACTAGCAATGCTGCTTCAAAGACTTCATTAATTATATTTAGTTAACAGAATTATGCAACTCATGGATTGAGGCATAGCATGTTTTCCTTCATTCTTTCAATAATCATTTTATGCCTTGAAGAAAAACTTATGATTACATTTAAGTCTAGTTTATGAAAAAAACATCAAATCATGTTTGTCTGTAATGCCATTTAACACATAAAAAAAATGAGGAGTTAGATAATTGTAGTCTGGGCTCCTGCAACGCAGAATCTCAGCAGAAGATTTTAAACAGAGGGCTGTGTCTTCCCTTGGTTTAGTCTGAGTCCTGCAAGGGGAGCTCTGCTCTCTGTATTCACTGACAAGACCCTCTGCTTAAGTAACTGTAGTGGTAGTAGAGATGGTCACTCTCTCACTTCTGACAGGCAGGTCCCTAAGAAAAGGAAAGAACATTTGAATTAGTTTGTTCTCTGCATAATATTCTGCTCAGTTGGAGGAACTCTGTTGGAAACATTCTTTCCAGGAGGCAGGTTTCAGAGATACAAGGAGAAAATAGGAGACAGATTATATCATCCCTACCTAATCTTGGGCATCCAACACCAAGCTGTCATAGGGCTCTTCGACCATACTGTCTAACATCTCTTCTGGCCAGGATAAGCTCCAAGCAAAGCAGTTAATGAATAGATTTTCAGTGATAGTGGTAAAAATGGATTTTGCTGTCTGTTGTATGGTACCAGTTTGCCACTACTGTGGTTAGAGGGGCCTTGAAGTTATTGGTGGGAGAGCGAGAGGAGTAATGGCTTCTGTTTCAGGGAAGAGAAACGGTTCAGCCTGTCTGTTCAATCTGCTACACCTCGGTATCTGTAACCCACTTGCTCTGTGGCCCCCTTTTAGCACCTCCCTTCCCCATGGCTCAGCCCAGGTCTAACATGTCCCAGCTGCATAACCTTGGCTTAGGCTGATGAGGAAATTGTGTAGTGCAGAGAAGCTGTGAAACAATCTGTAGAGCAGAGCCATATGAGATAAGAAAGGTAAAACTGAAGAGGCTGGATTGTTGAGACAGGGTCTTAAAGATTAAAGAGGCAAAACATGAACATGAAAAGCAGAAAACAGTAAAAAAGGTTGGACTATGGCAAGTAAGCCACTCTGAAAATCAGCTCCAGGGAGCAGCAAAGGCCAACCCTTTGCCTCCTGAGAGGTCTCCAGGGAACTCATGGTGAGGATTCTACTGCTGAGAACAGTGGTTCCTTAATCCTAGCTCTGCTGGGGGTAGAGCTGACAAACAATATATCCATAAGTAATTAATTTGTACTTTTACTTAGCATACACCTTGCTTACAACAGCTGTTTGTGCGATGCTCGTGGTGCCCAAAGAAAAGGCTCAAAGCAGGGATGGTTATAAGAGAGACCCCTCAGGTGCAGATTCCTGCATGCCACATACCCCATCTTTTCTCCTGGTACCAGCAGCATTCAGCTCAGCTTTCCAGGGAGCTGCTGTGAGCAAAACAGAGAACAGGACCATGTGTTGCTATCGTCAGCTGTCTGCTGCCCTTGACAGCGTCTGGCTCTGACCATAATTCGCAGGAGCACTGCCTTCAAGCTAGCTAGTTGGCATGCTGCTGGCAATGCAGAAGCTGGTTATCACAGGCTAGCAGGGTTCCTTTGCATCTGTCACCAGAGCTGTCCACTGGACAATATCAGCATGATTGCATTCCACAAAGGGAAGCTCAAGTACAAATTAACATATAGCCCCTGCTCCAGGCTCTGGACTTCATTTGGATTGATTAGATAAGTTTAATTTGATAACGCTTGGTATTGAAAAACTGCAAGGATACCTGGGCAAGCAAACGAGAATAATAAAGGTTTGTACTGCTCAAGTACCTTGGTGAGGTACCTCTGACCTCAGGAAAATCAGAGCTGCAAGCTAAAGAAACCAGCAGCTCCTCTCCTCTCTACCTAGATCATAAACCTGCTGTCTGATCCTTATCTCATTCCCATCTCAGATAATTCAGGTACATATTTAGCATAACTATTCTTGGGCATTTGACTTAAAAGACTTCTGTTATTTAAGCAGGTTTGTCATCTTATTGTGATCCTAATTATCACATATAAGTGTAAATACTCTATATTTTACTTAACATCTGTGTGAAGGGCTGCTTCCCACACTACCTGCATATTAACTGACAAATTCCACCATATTGGGGATGTTATTACATATTTTTCACCCTCAGCAGATGGTAGTTCAGGAAATAATAGTTCTCTACCTTATAATAGATATCCACAAATTATTGAAAAATAATCTAAATCAAGAATTCTCTTATGCAAAATGGCTAACAATTTGCACTGTCCACTTTGGTGGGCTATTTATTATTTTCCTGTCAAAATGGTGAAATAGATCTACACAGAAAGGGAGAATTGCTTGCTACTGCTTAAGCAGCACATAAATTGATTGACAGTAGACTAAATTTCACACATTCCTTTTATTTTAACTCTACTGGACTACAACAGTAGAGGACAAGTAGGACAATGCCATTGTCTAGAAATCAAGTGCCTGCTGTGCTTGGAATTGACTATGTCTGCAAATTTAATCAATTTACTTTAATAGAGAAAGGATGACTACAGCAACACACTTGTGCAAGAAACATTTCCTTTCCACTCCCAGACTTGAGCTTTATAACAAGAAACACCCAAAAAATACTGAAAGTGCAATAAACCAACACCATCAAAATCCAAACTAGGGACAGCAGTGAAAATTACAGATTTGAAAAAAGCTAGAATGTGGCTGTTTTGTGGATTTTTTCCTTAGGAAACCTTTATATTGTTGATTACTGTGATGGAAAAATACTTGAAATAAAAAAATCAGGCCATGGTTTCCTCCCTTTAATTCCCACACTCTCACTGCTGAGCAGATCTTTAATTGCACTTTATTGAATGTGTGGTCAGGCTAATCAGGAATAAAAGAGTCCTGAGTGAGACTTTGCCCTTTGAAAAGTAGTCTACAAATTGTTTTAGTGCTGCTTTCTAATATACCAGGGAAGGAGAAAAGCAAAGGAGAACTATTTGAAGGTAATTTGTTTTTAATATGCATTAACTATCAGCACAAATACTTAAGGGAGGATATGTTCTCTTTTCTGAAATAGTATTTCTACTTCATCAGCAATGAGAAGCCAACTGAAAAGATGAGAGAGAAGATGGGGCAGAATGGAAAATGGAAAAGAAAGAGAACTTCTTCTCTGATATTGTCCCAGATACTCTGAGCTTCCTGATGTTCCAAGGTGGAAGCTAATGCTGTCAGTCATGGTGATAATGAAGGCTTCATGGAGGCCCACTTGCAGTCAAGCCTTCTGGATGTCAGGAAACCAAAGAGAAATAATATCAGATTTTGAGAGGGCACATACAAAAGAGGAGTGTAGTTATACAGAAAAAGAACTAATGGAAATGACACAAAGTAGAAAGCAAGTGAAGAGAGGATGCTGGGAATGAAGCAAAACTCAGAGAATTCCACCAGACAAATTTTCACAACCCCTGACACTTAAGTTCTTCTCACAGTAGTTTCAAGAGCTGAAATTTTAAACTGTAAAAGATGAAACATTTCAGTTGTCAATAATTATTTTTTTTTAAAAAATAAAATTGAATGGAAAATTTTGCTCAGATTTTTAATGCCATTTCCACTTTTCTGAATCTTTGCTAGTTTCAATTGGTTTCTTTTTCTCTTCTAGGTACAGGTATTTAGAAATTGTAATGACTTCTGTCATATCTCTCCTATGGGAAGGTATGGTACCCTGCTCCTGCTGCCTGGTGGTAATGGCAGGAGATTGGCAGCAGTGAAGCTTACATACCATTTTTCAGTTCACTAATTTTTCAAATCCAGTGCTGCTGAAATTCAGAGTGGTGTTATAAATGGAGATACAGATACAGAGGAACATTTCTGACTGTGTGTTCTGCACGGTGACCATCTCCTCCACAGTGATTATAGTCACCATCCTGAAGATCTTTTTCTGGAAAACTATTTTTATTGACTGACAGAGGGAGGATTAAGGAATTTCAGTTGGCTGTTTAGACATCTATAGGTTTCAGACATATTTACGGATATGTTTTACCCTGAAGTTGCAAAACTTATGTAATTCTTTTTATTACCCAATGACATAAAGCCTTTTTAATCTCATTTGTAGCCACATGGCAAAGCATTTTTTCTACTTCATTATTTTTTCAAAGAACATCCCCTCTCTCCATGGGTTCATGGACAAATATCCTTGTCAGAGATAGGTTCATTACAATTTTAATTATTTTCTATTTGTATGATATTTCCTCTCATTTTTTTTCCCCTAACTGATGAGTTTCACATTTCCTCTTGACCTGATCCTAAATCCTCTATAATTATTTCTATAAAGGTACATTTTATTAAAGTATCTACCAAAGTATATTATAGGAGAACCTGTTTGTGTGCTTGTGTGTGTTGCATACTCAAGGGTTACCTTGGTTGTAAGAGGTCTTTAGAGAAAACTATTTCAACGTCTATTGGAAAGGTGTATTTTTGATCTGGGTAACATTTTACAATTGTTCTGGGTAACATTTTACTGTTTCAATAGGCTGCATATCTTCACATGTATCCTCACTTGCATTCAGCATGTCTGCAGGGGAGGATAATCACTTTGCATGCCCAATCACAACACTTCCATCTGCCAGAGAGCGTGTACATGCACTCATTTGAACAACAAACTTTTACTCTCAAAGGTAGTAAAATATACCACACAAATTCAATCTTATGATGCTGTCAGACACAGGGATTTTAAAAAACAAGGTCTGGCATTTTAATCTGTTCTTTTACATTCATCATGTCACTGCTAGTTTTTTGTGCTTGGAAAGGACTGCACACGTTTGAAGTATATCTTATTTAGTCTTAAATATCAATATTCCCATACCTTCTTTGGTTTGTTTTTTGTTTGTTTTCTATTGTTTTTTCCCTGTGAATGCAAAGTATATGCTTCTTTTCTATTAAAATAATTGGCCTGAAATTTTAATTTCTATTAAAATACAAAACCTGTGTTTTCTTGTCTGAGCAGGTTCCTGATTCCTGCTGCTATTTATGAAACATATTGAGATTGGAACTCAGTAATTTGACTGAGACCAGAATTTCTTTGTCAGGTGAACACCTCTTCCCCAGGATAAGGCTTGAAAAGTTGTCCGCTTTTCCAGAGTCTTTAAGGATTTGAATTAATCGTTTTGAAACTCAGCATTGTGTCAATCCCAGATGAATATTGCTCCTGCAGGAAAAAAAAAATCCTCCCCATGAATTGTGCACTGCTCTGGAAAGCTGTCAACTCCCATTCAACATCAACCAGGACTCGGGTGACCTTTGATTAGCCTCATGTCACCCTCCAGTTAAATGAGTTAGTAGCTATTAAAGCTGAAACACACAACCTACCTTGCATTA